AAATGTATGCTATTATAGCACATCACAACAGGTAGCCAATTCAGAATTGAGGCCACCGAGAGCAAGCTTTCTAGTTGTTTAGCCTTATACTAACATGCCAACTGGACAAACACTGATTCCTAAAGGATGGCCAGGTACCCGTTACTGCAGTTAGTCATTATTTATGTATTTAGACAGGATCTCCTATATCTCAAGACAGTTTCAATCTCACTATGTAGCCAAGGGTGGCCTTGTTCTTTACATCCTTCTCTTTTACCTCAACAAGTGCCTCAAAGACAGGCATGCGTGACCATGTTCAGCTTCTGGGCTTTCTTTTATAGTTACCCCAATCTTCTTTTAAAGATATGGAAGAACTCCAAACACTCATGCTTTTCTCGGGATTTAGGTGCTGAATCACAGTAGAGGGGAAGGGGGGGGGGGCAGTTCTTCTTCTGAATATGAAAGACTAAGAACCATAAAGCGCTGGGATGGGCAAAATCTCTAAGCAGGGAGTCTGAGAAATGAGATGCTAAGTATGGCTCTAATATAGGTCCTGAAATACTAGAGGTAGGTGGGACACTGAAAGTGTTCATACAGACTGGCCAGTCTAATGAGAGAAAAGCAGATACAGATGAGAGGAAAAGGACACTGATACCCCGCTAAAACACATGCTTGTGTCTGGAGTACTTCATCTGGGAATTCCAGAACACTAAAGGACAAAACACAATATGGGAACAGGTCTAAGTAAGGACAAGAACACTGTAACACAGAGATGCTTAGGAGGTGGAATGCAAGATTGAGAGAGGAAGACAAAGCATGGAGGAAGGAAGAATGAAGTCATAGTCTCTGTGTGTGTGATGGCTGTGTATATGTAGAAGAATGTGTGCCCATGCACATGGATGCAGAAGCCAGAGAGGGATGCTGGGCAACGTCCTCTATCACTTACCAACTAGACAGGTCTCTCCGAACCCGAAGCTTGCCTTTTAGTGTAGGCTGGCCATCAGGAACACCTGGGATCCATCAGTCTCTGTCCCCCAAAGCTGGAGTCTCAGGAGGCACAGCCACTCTGGGCGTTTACATGGCTGTGGAGATTCGGACTCCTACCCTCTTGCATTTACAGAAGAGCCCTTCTGTCAGCCGTTCCTCATACCCTTAACTATGTTACTTTTTAAACACGAAGAGTAAGGCTTGTGATTCGTGACTGTTTAAGGAGAATCTTCATCACTTACTAGCTTTATAGACAGTGATTAAGACTGTGTCCTGTGGCCAGTACCCCATACATTACAGGAATGATATAATATTACAAAACCCAGAGCTTCTGAGGATTCGCTGGAGTTAAAATACGTAAACTATTGAGAACATGGCTGGAACTGCCTCTCCCTTTAGTCTCGATTATTCATAATCTCACTTTGATTAGAGGATTATTAGAGAGGAAGGGAGGAAAGAGGAAATTAAGGCTAATTTACTTTATTTCTTATCGGTCAACTGTGACAAAAGACTTGAGTTCTAACTTAAATAAACAAGACTTGCAGCTTGCCTTCAGCCTTTGTTAGGACTGTCTCATTATGTCCACATTTTCACTATTCACCACTTCCATGAATAATTTAGCATTAGTTGCCTGAGTTTTTTGGAAACAAAAATATTCAAAGTTAAAAAAAGAAAAAAAAAGAGCCAAGCAGATTGAGCATTTTTGAATGAACATTAGGTGAAAAAGAATTCAAAAGCCACTATCCTTATACCAAATAAATTCATTAGCGATAAATAAAGTGCAATGAAGACCATTATGTTTGTAAATAATTAAAACATAATTAACACCCTTAAATGAATATTAAATTAAGTATAAAAATAACATTTGGAAAACCCAAGCTGTTGTATCAACACATATTAGAAGTTAAATTCATTTTCAATTATCTTCTTTAAAAGTATGCTAAGAAAGCTAGGCGTGTTGTCATATGTACAGAATGACATGGTGTGCCATTATATGATGTGTCATTATATGAATGATGTGGGGAGACTGAGGGCGGCCTGAGCTACATTAGTAACTTCCAGGCCAGTCTCAGCTACATGTCAAGACTATTTAGAAAACTGAGCACGTATAACCAGAACATTTCTGAACATACACAGGAAAAGAAGAACCAAAGTGAGATATTCTGCAAGTCAAAAAAAAAAAACAAGAATTACCTGTTTCCTTTAACTAAAAGATGTACCTTTAGATAACTCTAATAGAATGAAAAGAGTTTGTGAACAGCTTATGAATGAAGGCCCTTTAACATGTGCTAGGGATATCAGCAAGTGGAGAACCAACTGAGCTCTGTGGAAGGACCATGCAAGTACTCAAATTGGAGGAGCGTAAGGCACAAAAGTTACCTTGGACAAATTTTGGTATACAGCCTGACTTCTATCTCAGACACAATACTCCCGAACATATTATGCTATTGATTTAAGAACACTCAAAGGAAAGGAATGCATAACAGGCAAAGTGAAATTGCAAGGTACAGCTTTTGCTATGCTAATACAATAGCTTTGTTGAGATAACAGAGTGGATAAGGGAAGCCAGATAGACAATATTTATCTACATTTGAACAATGCTTTCAACCTTGTGCTGCATATCAGCACGCTGAGAAATTGAGATATGAATTGTGTAGATGATGTGACAGAGTGAATTACTAGTGGCTTCTAGATTTGAAATAAAGGATTATTATCCTTTCAGATATAGAAGTTCATACCAGTGTATCTCAAGTTTTAATTTGCAGCTAGACTAATTATGTGAAATAAAATAAATGTAGCTTACACATTAATCATCTTCAGGGAAAGGTTAATTTAATAGAATTCAATATAATCCACAAGAAAAAAAATTTAGGAGCAAACAATAACAAAGAATCTAAAAGTGACTGATTCACCTATACAAAACAAGTACAGGGAAACTCATAAATATAAGACGTGCCTTTCATATTTTAGAATCAGTGTCAAATAGGTTAATTAGTTGATTTTTTCTTTATAATATATTATTTTCCAGTTTTTTATGCACAGAAAATTCAGCGAACTTAAGTACAGATAGAGCCATATAGTAAATACTGATAGTATTTCCTAGTATTGAACTTGTAATAGGTAATGTTGGAGAAAGGACATAGGAGAGTTGGCAAGCACTTTTAATGCGATTAAAAATCCAATGTAAACCTAAAATAAACCATTTAAGTCTGGACTTAAAAAACAAAAGGCAATTGTCCATCACATAATCATTTGTTTATACAATAATTCAAGGTTTCTATTATCTGAGGCATTGTGATGCTAGGTCATCTACAGTCCTGTAGTGTATGCTTTAGTTAGCACAACAGAGCTGGGGAAAAGCAATTAACACAGGTTAGGGTTTTTCAACAATTCTCAGATACAGAAGTTGAAAAGGTACTATGTATTATATATATATAAAGACAGTTTAACCTAGTTAATCTAAGTTCAAGAACATTGTAAATAAAATTACAATATAGTACTCTACTACCTGTAGATATTAAAATATCTTGAAGTATCTTTTTGAAGGACATTTAGAACAAATTTATGATAAAGATATTGTTAGAAATATCACCATATTGGTTATTATTTGGAAATGCAGGATTTGAAAGTATTAAAAACTTTATTTTAGGCCGGGCGGTGGTGGCGCACGTCTTTAGTCCCAGCACTCGGGAGGCAGAGGCAGGCGGATCTCTGTGAGTTCGAGACCAGCCTGGTCTACAAGAGCTAGTTCCAGGACAGGCTCCAAAACCACAGAGAAACCCTGTCTCGAAAAACCAAAAAAAAAAAAAAAAAAAAAACAACTTTATTTTATGGGGATAGGAAACATTCATTATATTTTTCATATTACATTCAATAATAATGTTAAAAACTGCAAATACTAGCATTTCTTATTTTTTAAAATTTGATTAAGACTCCAAGATCTAAATGACTGTGATTAGGCTAAAGCTACTATAAAAATGGTGGATGTAACATGTACTCACTACTTGGCAAGAGACAGAACCACATATTTTATAAGGTCAGTGTTATCAATTGGTTATACTAATCTGAGTCACATGGTACTTCCAATCCCTTAGACTGCTTTCTGCCCAGTGTTGCATCTACAGGTTCTCCAGGCATACCACACACCTCAGCGAAACCAGAGAATGTGCTGAACTGCAAATGCTATGATGTATGCTTTATAGAGCCAAAGGACGTGCATTTGCTAATGGTTTCTGCGACCAGGGTTCATTTGCTCAGTGTGTTATAATGTTAGTTGATTACTGATAAGAGCAGACAATAAGGATTTCTTCAGGTCAAATCAGGCAAGAATAATATACATAATACTTATATATGTGGATTTGTTTGAATACATGTCTTTGTAGAGTTCTGCACCAAAGCCTATACACCTTTCCTACAGGTTGACGCTGTTAGCATTTTAAACTTCCAAACTCAAACATTTATGGTTTTGCTGGATCTCAGATGCTAACCAGAGATGAAAACCACATTTTTGGGTACTGGTTGTTATAGTAAAAGATGTGTATGGATTAGACTAAAATTTCAACTTTCTAATTTACTCAATAACATACAAAGCCAAAATCTGCACTCCGTACATTGTCAGTTTTCCACTTCTCAGAACACAGCTCCTCTTGTGAGCTTTGAGAAACTGAAGGGCTCATGATGTGCTTAGTGTTTGTGTAAGAGTCTGTGTGTGAACATGCTTTCCACAGTGCTGATGTGACAGTCAGAGGCCAGTTTTCAGGAGTTCAGATAGTGCTAGGGTGGTCAGTCATGGGGAAAGTGGTCTCTGCCACTGAGCCACCTCACTGTCCCCACAGGAGGTTTTTAAACTAATCTATGCTAGCAAACCTTTGTGCCAGGCAATGACCATAGTATAATGCTGTAATAGTTTAAGATCACGAGATGGCATGAAGCCCCGTGAAGGTATTAGACCATATTCTATGGCCTATCCAGAGAATATAAGCACTGTGCCAAACTGTTACTCCGTAGGGGGCTAAAGAATCATATATTTTTACCTTCCTCTTTTCTTCTCTTTGCTTCTTCTTCATTCCTTTCTTTAGCTTTTAGTGCTTCATCAGCTTTTGCTGTAAGAAAACAAGAAAAAGTCTGCATTTATTTTATGCATACCTTGTAAATGAGAATAGTGGGGAAAGGAAACAGAAATTTAATATTTATTTCAAGTTTTCAAAAGAAATATGGCAATTAAGATTTAGAGCTACACATTTGCATTCTTCATTCAGAATTTATATATAGAGTATTTACTTATAATTCTTGAGTCTTAGTTCAAGATACCCTCTGTACCAAAAGAAAATGAAGATGAGCAATGCGAGGCTAAAGCATGACATACGAATTGGGAAAACAGTTGGTTATTAAAAGCCAGCTGATTGACCAGTGGAACATATCTGCATTAAAGTCTGGAGGATTCAAATTCGATCTTTAAGAAACTTGCCGTATCGGTGTTGCAATATCAGATTAGGTGGAACTTCTCTCTCTCTCTCTTCCTCATGCACATCATAATAGAGTTTTATTCATGTTATGACAGCATTTGCTAAAAAGGATCTTTTTTTCTCCCTAGAACCTCTTCCCTTATTACTTAATTATCTACTAGTTGCTCAACTGCAGGGGTTTTTCAAACACTTTACTACAGATGTTAAAGAAGATTAAAAATATACAGCACAGTAACAAGGGACTATCAATATACTCTGTAAATTAATTAAATTTCTGTTCTAGCACATCATTTATTCCGAAGCATTAACGTCTCAAAGGAGCGATTCTCCTTTATTGCCGTCTTACTGCCTGATGAGTGAACTAAGCGAAAATAAGTCTCTAACAGCATTAGAGTTGATGAAATATTAAGTTAAAAAAGTATTGCCTCGTCAAAAGAAAAAGAATCAGACTATGCCAGCATTAAACTTTGGATCAGCCTTTATCATAATGGTAATAGCAAATAGAAGCTCTGATTTTAAAAATATACTGCAGTTGTTGCTGCAAAAACATTTCCTATGCAAAATTAACATATCTTTAGACCTATAAAATCTGGCCTAAAGAAGGAATTTAAAGAAATTCATGTATCATAAAAAATAATTTTTCTTCAAGCTTGGTTTTCTTCACCATCAACACTGAGACTTTTTCTTAAGGTATAAAGCTCACATAATGGTGTTATGAAATGCTATATCTAATGACATGGACATCTGTTTCCATTTATAAGGTTTTATATATCCTTAGACTGTGTTTAAATCATGAAACATTAAAACTTTATGTCATTTTACATCATTGCAAAAATCTAGCAAATTAGATAATAAAAACAAACCAGCAGTAACTCTAAAGACTTTTACTTCATTTACACTTTATTCACCCTGGTAGAAGGACAAGGATAATAGAAATTCCATTTAAATTCAATTTTGGTTATATGTGTAATTGTAGATATACCCCTTGAGTCATGTAAAATGCTCGGCTTATGTTTCTTTCAAATTATCCCGCTCAGATTCCCATTCTCCTCCTTACAACCATCTTCAATATGTATTAGCAGAGCTCATTAGACTGAAATTTAATAATGCAAACATCAGGTGCATTTCAAGAGCCTCCATTAACAGCGTAAGATGGATTGCTTATATAGAACTCTTGGGCCAACCGGGCACAATTTAAATTCAATAAAGTAGCCTGCCTAAATCTGATTTATCTATTTGACTATGCTGGTTTGTCCTTTCTTACTGATTTGTTGCTATACATGGACAATTCATTGAAATATCGTTTTGTATGTTTTTTTTTAAAATAACAGAAAATGGCTCTGGTGCTGTAGTTAAATACTTTATGTAATTCATCTTCATACTGCCAATCAAGACTATCAAGTATTTGTGTATGCATGTAAATAAATAACCCTGTGAATTTTATTAAAATAACATAGATAATCTTTTTTTTTTCCTTAGTATTTGTTAGTTTATTTTAAGCTCCTGGACAGAGCCTGGCTTAATTTTAAAAAGTTTAGTTAGAAGGCTGGAGAGTAGGCTCAGCAGTTAGGAGCATTCTGCTCTTACAGAGGACCTGGGTTCCTTTCCCAGCACCCGCATGGCAGCTCATAACCGCCTGTAACTCCAGTTAACATGGATAATCTTAAAAGTACACATCAGAAAATTTTGTCAGTGATCTCCATGTCCTCCACAAGGAATATGAATGAATTCACTTAGAGAGAATATACATTTAAAGTGAACCATCGGGATAAACTCCTCTTTGATTACAGGGAAGTGTGGAATAAATGGTTCTCTCCTAATGCTATTATAATGTAAATGTGGAAAGAAGCAAAACTTCTCTAGTCATTCATTTGATTCACCTGAAACATCTGTGCTGTCCAAAGGTAGAAATTCCATTTTATAGATGAAGCCCCTGAACACAGCTAGATGTGCCCCACAATTAGACACTAAGGAGCACAAGCAGAACCACTCCTGTGATTTACCATCTTCTTTGGCCTTTGCAGTACCATCGACTCCAAAGCGTGTCGATTACTTATAGACTACTTTTCTTGTCCAAACTTCTATATAGTCATCAATTCTTTGGTGCTCCCCAATTTTCCAGGCTTTGCTTCTTGAATATTCAACCTGGAAGTTATGGCTTTAATGACCCCAACAAAATTCACTTTGCATCTAATTCCCACTGTGAGGTTTTAGAAGTAGGATCACAGGATCTCTAAGATGAGAGTAGGTCGTGAGTGCTGTCTTCTTGATTGGATTCACCAATAAATCTCATGGATGAACCTCTCATAAAAGTCAGGTCTTTTTTATATACCTCTCTTGTCCTGAGTTGCTTGACATGCAATGCCTTTGGACTCCGCACTGTCTCTACCAGCAAGAAAGCCTCAAAAGATGCAGTCCTTTGAGCTTGTACCTTCCAGGATTATGAGCTAAATAAACTTTTATTCTTCATACATTGCACAGCCTATGGTGTTTAGTTATAGATGTACAAGAGCCAAGATATTGGATAACAATACAATTATTTCCATTCCATGCTTATAAACACCATCATGTCCCTCATTCATTTGTTTTAACAAACAGTTACTCATACTTCTGGCCATTTTCTATTTTTTCAGAATGGTCTCCCTACAAAACAGTATATAAGGCTACTGGTTGTGCCCAAACCTAATGATTTAGAAGCTTGCATCCTTATAGGTAGGTAGCACCTCTTCATCCAGTAAAGCCATAGGTGGTGTCTATTCTTAGTACTTGCAACTTATTATAGTTTCTTCACTACAAATGACAATAATCTACCAACATCCCTGAGACCCTGGTATTTCCTCAGCTCTACTTATATTTACCTTCAAATTTTTACATCAATCAAGTTTACTAACATTTTGCCTTGGTTAATAAAATAAACCCACGGGCTGAAGAGATGGCTCAGAGGTTAAGAGCACTGACTGCTCTTCGAGAGGTCCTGAGTTCAATTCCCAGCAACCACATGGTGGCTCACAATCATCTGGTGCCCTCTTCTGGCCTGAGGGCATACATGGAGGCTGAACACTGTGTACATAATAAATAAATAAATCTAAAATAAAATAAAATAAACCCACTCACTTTTGCTTTAAAGCCTATCCTTTTCGTAGCCTTTGGGCATCAGATGCTCTCTCCTCTATCCTCAACTACAAATACACTCAAGTCTCACGGACGCTGCACAGTGCTTACTTTTCTTCCAGCATCAGTACTGCCATCGCGTTTTCAACAGCTGCCTTACCCCCAATTTGCAATGGTCACGAAAAATGAAAATTCTTTTATAGTTTAGTTATAGTTTCTCTGTTTTGTAAAATTGGCTGCGGAAACAGCTCAGTGATAAAAGAATTATCTATTATGTGTGAGACCATCAGTAGTATTCCTAGCATCGCAAATAAATGGCTATAGCTTTTCAAAGTACTCTGATGCTCTCATAATGTTTCGGCTTCTCTCTTCCTTCTTCACCTTCTATTGGGGTAGGATATGGAAGGCTCACATTGTTACCTGGAACCCGTTCGCGGATATACTCACCCATGGTCCCTTTCCTAAGCACTAGAACTACCCATCAGATATTTCAAAATTGTGCTCGTGGTTGAACTGACAATCTTTCCCACAATGTTTCCAAGTTCTCTTCGCTTAGTATATCCCTCCCTCTCTTTTTAGCCAATCATCTAACCTCTCACTCTGCCAGCGTTCTGACACTTCCCTCAAGCTCTATGCTCATATCTGATCACCAGGTCTGTGAGATTATCTCTAGAACGCCCTCACTCCTGTCCATGTTCAACAGTCACACTCAGATCATCTTTGCTCTCATGTTCCTATTGTATTCTGCTCTTCTAATCCCCTTCCTTCCAGTGCGCCCTGCACATGACCACAAGCGCAAAGAATACATTGACTGCTCTACATCCCCAGAAGCACTGCCTCTAAAGAACACAGAAACTCAATAAATGTTGAGCAAATGGTAAAAATACCTCAGAGGAACCATGTTAAAGCATGTGCATGTATAGATCTCTATAAAAATACCATAGGTAAATACCGCGAGAGACATTGACCCCAAGTCCTCAAAGCATGCCACTTGAAGCCCTTCAGGGTCCTCCCTCCTTATCAGGGATCTGCCATCTGGCCTTCTTGAGCCTTTTGTTACACTATATCTTTGTTCTTGCTAGGGTGTACATTTTGTTTTCTTGCTGAGAAAATTGTAGCTGGAAGTTTTAGCTAAATACCACCCTCTTCTGTGAAACCATCCCTATCAACAACCTTCAAATCTGTCTGGCAAGGAACTTCTTGTCATATGTCAGCTCACTGCCAAAGTCATGAAGATCTAAAAGCAAGGACGGAAGGGGAGTGAAAATGATTTTGTAATTGCCAGTTTCTTTCCCCAACTACTGGTTGAAATGCGGCCCTAAAGAATGAATCCGCATTACTGATTTCTGCGAAGGGCAGTATTCTCTTTATGACTTGTGTCCCGTATGACACAAGCACGGAGCACGCACGTGCTGCTGGGCAGCTGTCTCGCTGTCTCATTGTCACAGTGTATGGCCCAAGACCCCTCAGCAGAGTAGGTGTGCAGTGAATGGCTCTAAAACAAAGGGAACAAAAAGTACTTTAAA